ATACGTAAGAAAAAGAAAGGTTCCATTAGCGAATGCAGAAAGCGACAACATTAAGGTGCATGGCAAGGGTGAAGTCCACGAAGCCCATATAAAACCTTCTGTTCAAACTGAAAAGTCAATAGAACCAGAAGAAAAGAAGCCAGATGTACTTTCAATAACGAACCAAGAGCTTATTGCAAAGTTCGTGAATTTCATTGAAAAACAAACCGAGTCAAAGAATCCTGACCCGCCAGTGAAAGAAGTTGAGACAAAAGAGAATGTACAGTTCATTGAAAATGTCAAGAAACAACTTCCACCACGAATGCCAAGAAGAAGAGTGAGAATAATGAAGTAAATAGATATTTTTATCCGAAGTAAATACATGCAGAACGAACAGTTAAACGAATTTACTCCAGCAGAGCATATTCATCAGATTCGCTCATATTTCGATATCATAGACAATGCAGTTCAAATTGGTGACACTAATAGAAAATATTCTGACGCAAAGATTCCATCACAACCTGGAACTGCTAAAGATAACACATGGGTAACATTCAATCTCTCACCTCCTGGTGAAAATATGTTGGACCTTTACAATACATTCATTACGTATAAAATGGAAGGTCAATTTATTGTAGATAAAGAAATTGGTTCAGGTTCCAATAAAACAAACCCACCAGGATTTTGGATTGGTTTCGATGACGCTTTCTATGCAGTTGCTGGATATCAAATCCTTGCAAATGGTCGTATCGTATATTCTCAAGACAACGCACGAGAAGAAGCATATATAACTTCAAACTCACAAACTACCGAACAAATAAAGAAAGTAGATGTTTTCTCAAAGACTCGACATGAAGATGTATGGAGTCATTCGGGAACATGCAGAACAGGACAAATTGTTAGTGGTCCAATTACAGCAGGAAAATCATTTGATTTTAAGCTTCGTTTAAGAATTCCTGTTAGAAGATTCCTTCCATTAGAAGCTATTCGATTTATTCCAGCTTTTGCAGGAAACATTCAGCTTAAAGTAAAGTTCAGTAGCGACGCCTTACAATGCACATCTATATCTGTAAATGATATCATTGCTTTCAATCCAACTCTTAAAGTTGCATTTGCTTCAGATTCAAATCCACCGACAAATAAATTTGTTCCATGGAATGAACCATTCACTATGATAACGAAGGCAGTAGAAGCTAGTGGAACAGTTACTATTACAACTGTAACCCAGCAACTATTTCGAACAAAGATGGATTTTAATGAATGTTTCATTCATCCAAAGTCATTCTCTTTAGACCCTAACATTTATACAGAACTTGTAGAACATTATACAAACGAGGCTTATGTTTTCCTGTTAAAGTTATGGATTGATCCTATGGACGGTTCATTCTCAAAGAATACAGATAGTTCAAGTGCAACATTTACAGCAGCTTATACGCCTATTAATGTTAAAAGTATTTGGGCACTATTTAGAAAGAAAGACAACTATTATGTTAATTTTGAGAACCTAAGTTTAAATATCTTCAGCTTTCCATGGGAGCTTATGGAAATATGCCTGCAGAACCTGAAAAATCATATGGACCTGTATTTTATGAAATGGTTGCGAACGCCTGCAATACAAACAATGATATGATAGGATTTAATGAAGATGTTATGAGGTCATTGGTGGATGATGGTAGTGTGGAACATAAATGGGATAGCTATGACAACACACATTTCTTATGTGGTTTTCCAACAGAAGTGGACTTTTGCTTCCAGCAAGGTCAAACATCTACTGCTCCAATAACATACAAATTGTCTGTTAAAGGACCTATTGAACTAGCAACTGAAAATGTACCAAAGCCACTTATTGGATTTATGAGGGATTGTTGCTTTGCCATTCAGGTGCGTGCTAATGGAATCCCCATAATAAGATTAGATGACTATAACTTAGCTACGGACGACAGTGAGGAATAAAGGATGAACGTTTATTTTTAAAGCTTATAAATGAGTTCTTCATCAAGCTCTCGTGAACCTTCACCATCTATGAAACAAACTTTACCAAACGATTATGGAGCACCTATTGAATATTTCTTACGAGCTGCACAATGGCAAAGAGCAGTTTCACCAAGGTTAGGTGTTCCACCAGCTCCTGTCAAAAATAGCATTTGGTCAAGTCCTTATATAAGATATGGTCTCCCACTAGGTTTGCTAGCTACAGCAGGAGCAGTAATGATGTTGAAAAGAAACAAAGCAAATGTTATAAATAATACTGAAGTAGCTGAATTTGAACAAACTCCGACACCATCGCCAAAACCAACGTCAAAACCAACGCCTTCACAAACAACACCTTCAATGACTCCTGAACCTATGAAAGTACAAACTCCTGTTCAAAAGTCAACTCCAAAACCGACTCCAACATTTAAACCAGAACCTACTCCTCAAATAAATCGTAAAACTCCTGCGTTTCCTTACTGAAAAAATAATGTTAGTTTTATTTTATTTGAACATTTTATTTAGAGTAAAATGACGACTAAAGTCACTGAAGCAATGAAACAAAAATTTTTGGTAGAATACATTAAATCAGGAGCGGTTCCAGAAGGTTTTTACGTTCATACTATGAAGGATGGTAGAGTTCAGTTTAGAAAGATAAAGCAACCATTAGATAAAGAAGGAATTTTGAGAAAGATTAAACTTCATGAGGACAACATTGCTGAACTTAAGAAGAAGTTAGAAGAGTTGGAGAAAGGAAGAGAGTTATAAAGTAATGAATTCAACAGACCCAAAGGGTCAGAGCCGCTTTGCGGCTAGGGTGAAAAAACAGGTGAAAAAAGAGGTGAGATCTCACCACTTCACCTAAATTTATTTTTGCGCTATGTTTTCATACGTGTGAGGGTGGTGATATCATTAATTTTTAAGTTTATTTTATTATTTTACTGAAAATTTTTATTTGGATGTAAATGACGAAAACTATTGAGATAACAAACTACAACGGTCATGAGTTCAAGAATTTGTTCTTCGTTCCTCGTGAAAATACATTCTATCAGATACGAGGGAGAAAGGGTAAAGTTAGTTTGAGCGTTTATGAAGGAATGAAGAATGGAAAGTTTATACAAGCATACGATACAAACGGTAAACGTGTTTCATTAGCTTTGTCAAAACTTACTAACATTCATTTTGACAGTGATTTTGACCTATATGAAGAAGAAAGTGAGTCAGAAGATTATGAGCTGTTATGTGAAGCACAGCAATGGGAGGAGTTGCAATACTTTTGTAAGTGAGAACGTTTATTTTTTACATTAGTGAAGTCGTTTGTGAAAACGTTTATTTTTTCATTAGTGAGGTGAAGTGGTTGGCGGCTTTATAAATATTTAAGGTTAAGTTGGTGTTTGTGTTTGTGTTGTAAAATATACATTAACGGTTTCGTAAAGTGTCAAAACCGCTAAGTTGTGTACGGAGGCGCGCAGTGCCACAGTACACGACTTAGGTATACTAACTAGTGATCCAGAAGATTTTGTTGAAAAATGAACCTGAACTTTGTAATCATTATGTGTTAACCAATGTCCTCCTTCTCTCTCAGGTTCATAGGTCTCATTTAATATCATTGAATGTTGGGTACTTACAGCTTGGAATTTGCATCCTGCTGTTTTGTTTAAACATTTGACTTTTGAATAGACTTTAGAATCTTCTTTGCTATTAACTGCAAATGGCTTGAATACTTTCCCGAGATCACTAAGAGTGTCTGATTCTGAGTCCTTAAACTTAGCTTCAATTTCATAATCTGTACCATTACTAGCAATTAAGTAGTTTTCTGTGAAACAAATTTCTCCATTCGGAGGCAAGTGGAAATAGCCATCTACCTGTTGGCTTGGACAGTTTGGATATGCTGGATTTTCTGTGCTTGGTCCTTCCATAGAAATCCTGCTTAATGCTAGTTTGTTGCGAAGCAACATGTGAATATGAAGTGATATAAAGAAATTGAAAGTAAGTTTTTTTTACATTTAATATTTATTTTTATAATAAGAAAATGAATATTATTAAAGACATTTCGAAATTGAATGAAATGAGTTGAGGTCTCAAAAATTTCATCAATTCAATTGTTGAGATTTTTCATAGAACTCTGAAAAAAACTATATACTCATTTTGAACTAAATTAAATTGATGTAAAACATTATATTATTTTTTTATAACGATAAATAAACAACTTATTTTCAAAAATAAACGTTACTTTTTATTTTGTTCTTTCAAACTCATTTTCCAATTATGTTTCATTACAATTCTTGTGAGTTTTATATTGTTTTATTATACTATTGGGATGTGTGATTCAATATTATAAAAAAATTTCAAAAAAATAATATTTGGAACAAAAAATATATCAATTCGATATTTCCAAAAGGAAAACCAACTTTTGTATCTAAATTTAGAAAATACAGTGGACAATACATTGAATTTAATTTTTGGATAATTATCAAAATAAATTAGATATTGCTTACAATTGGAAATATTTCTATCTTTCATTCCAAGTATTGCCATCTTCAATTCAAAATACTAGATTTTTTAAATTAATTTCTTGCTGCAATTCAATTACTTTTCAGATGGATCGAAAATTATTTTTTTCATAAGTTCATATATTCCTACTTTTATTTAAAGGCCCAAATAATTAATATTAATAGCGCTTTTAATTTTTAGAAGATTTTAGGTGTCTCCCTCTCATTCCCTCTTGTCTATGGAAATATATTCATGGACTAATGAGTGTAGAGTGTATAGAGCCCACAAAATTTTATCCATATGAAGCCTGTAATAAATTTATCAAATTCTTAGTTATATTAATAAAAAGTAGCTTAAGGTATAATTTCTTTTTCATTCAAATTTTAAAATCTTAAGAAACGATTTTGAAACAATTGTCATTTATAAATTGAAAAAGAAACGAAAGCATCAGATGTGACTTTTTGATTTTTCAACTCAAAAACTCGCACGGATATTTTTAATATTTGTGGCAGATAAAAAAATATATTTAATTTTTTTTGAAATTTTGACAAATATAATTACTCGGGAGTCTTTCTTACTGAGAAGAATCCTTCGATCTGCTCGTCCTCCTCGAAATCGTTTAAGAATGGATTCTCCGAGTTTCCGACGACAGAAGTTGTCCATAATGGGTTTTCATTTGTAAGTGTCGCTGTTGCACCATCCGTAGTAGCCGTGGCCATAACTGTTTCTTCGTTCATTTCAATGGCAGATTCATCAGAAGAGTCACCTTTCTTCTTCATGACCAACCAAGCGATCAAACCAGCAAGAGCGAGGAGAGCGAGCAAACCAGCAACAACACCGATGACTAAAGCCAATGGGAACTTCTTCTTTGTCTCTCCAGCACCTTGAGCTTCATTTCCATTAACTGGAGAAGGAGTAGGAACTTCTGGAACTTCTGGAACCTTTTCGGTTGGAGAAGGAGTATCAATTATACTCTCTGTTTGCTTGGCCGTAACGAAAGGAGTAGCGAATCTTGTTCTGAATCCCATATCTGGTATAGCTGTAAGGCCAATTGGGTATTTTTCTGTAATGGATACATCCTCTGGTGTTGGATCGAAGACTTTGCCAGGTTCAGCGGTTGTTTCTGTTCCGACTTTTCTTGATGGAGGTGGCCAGTTAAGAGGGGATTCTGTAGAAGGCATCGGTAATTTCGTAATTGGTGTTGCAACGTAGGTATATTGGGATGGAGGGGCAACTTCTGAAGTAATATTTTCATTTCCTTGATTAGACTTAGTTGCGTACTTAATTGAAGATTCTTCTGGTGTAACAATTTGTTCTTCTGATGGAGCGTTCTTTGGTGTGCATTCTTCATCGGATGCGTCTCCTAAGAATTCAAGAAGTACCCAATCTGTAGCGTTTTCTTCGAAGAAGTTATTAACTGTGCGGGAAACGAATTGGTTCATTGTTCCCCATTGCATCTGCTTAGGATCGATGTTGTTCATTCTATCCTGGAAAGATTTCCATTTGGAATAACCTTCTAAAATGATTTCATGACCAGCTCCGAGTCCAAATGACTGTCCTGTGTATGTTGATGAATCTTCAACGAAACAGCAGTGATGGGATTCAAGATAACGCTGCTTTTTAGAATAAACAGGGGATGTTGGTGAAAGACCCTTCTTTCCGTCGGAAAGGAAACAAACGGCACCACCGCCGCGACCTTTGAAACGAGATGGAATATCGCTGACAAGGTTACCCTGGGTCTTGTCTGTCTTGCCTTCGGCCATCTTTGATAAAGAAGCACTCATCAACTTTGGATTTTCAGCATCAACGATATTTTTAACAAACTTGCATTGGACGAACTTGAGGTTGTCAACATTTGATGAGGAAACTGCGCCACCACCAAATGAGCACTTATTCTGAATAAATTCACAGGCTTCGAAATAAATTTCTAAACCGTAAGAAAGAGCGGCTGCTCCACCAAGTTCGCAGGCTGTATTGGCAAGAAATGAACATCCTTGAATGATGCATGAAGAAGAAGGTGCTAAATAATTATATTCTCCTTCATTAAGGAAATTGGTTTGGAAGTAAACACCGCCACCATACTTATAGGCATTGTTTTGATCAAATTTAGCTCCATCAACTAAAATGGCTGATCCAATAGCGCAAATAGCGCCGCCAACGGCAGCTTGGTTTTCTTGGAAAATAGCGCCATTGGAAACTAATAATACAGATTGTGAGAGGCAAATTGCACCGCCTGAACCTGAAGATTTGTCTGTTCCAAAAGCATAATTACTTAAAAATTTAGTGTTTGAATTAACATTGATTGAGCATTTGTAAAAAGTTTGTTCTCTATGCGTGGACGATATATCTGTTTCTATGTGGATTTCTCTGTTATAATGTAAATCAAAATCTGTTTTATTTTTCTTAGTGATTTGAATAAAGGATGGAGTATCCTCTTGTGAGACTAAGTTATCATATAACTTTTGTGAAAAGCTATATGAATTTTGGGAAAAAATGGATAATGAGATTAAAAACATGATTTTGAAAAAATGATGTAAACTAATCATAATTTTTGCTATGATTTTCCCATATAAAAACACACTAGTTTAATTATTATCATATAATAATTTTTCTAAGAATACATTGAATTTATAAAAAAAGTTTTGTAAAATCAAAGAAATTATTTGAATCAACACCATTCAACAATTTACATAAGCAAGACGATATTGGGAGAAACAAAAATTCAGAGAGTTGAATTTCAATGGTGTCAACTTTAATCTTATTATTATCCTTCATTATTCGCTGGCATAAACTTGACATAAGGATCATTTTTTAGGCTTCAATCATTTATTTTTCATCTATCAAAAAATGTAAAATCTTACAAAAAAAGAGTGAAATGGAAACTTTTAGATAGTATTCTTAATTTAACATGACGTACAAAATCATCAACTTTTTGGTCAAGTTCTGTTATGTCATCATCAAAGAATAAGGTTTCCAACTATTATTACTTTAAAAACGGGTGTCCTTTGTTTGATATCATCGTGTAACTATATTTGGAACATAAATTGAGAAGATTTAAATGAATCTGAAAAGTGACAATCCCAATGAAATCATCTTCTCCTTCAAAAAGAAGGTTGACAGATGATAGGAGGAAATCTGATACATCTGCATTAAAACGTGCTAATAAGCAATTACCAGCATCAGATATGGATGATGAACAAAAAAATATTGAAATTTTAAAGAAATCTCTTCAAAATGCGCAATCAAGCGAAAACAATATTCTGTCACAAATTTATAGCTTGGAAAATCAACTAAATCAAAATTTGGCAAAATTAAAATTATCAAATACCGAAAAGAATCAAGTTAAAGACATAGAAAAAAGTCTTCAAGCAAACTATCAGCTTAGGAACAAGATACTATCGATATACAATGATAGAAATATCAAAATCGAAAATTCAAAGAAAGAACTTTCAGATTTGAAGTTTAGGCTTAAAGGAATTGAAGATCAGCGATTCCATCGAGAACAGGAGATCGACCAACTCCAATCTCAAGCGGATGAGATGAATGAGAAAATGCAGGAAATTGAACACTCAATGAACGAATTAAAATGCACTTACGAGACATTTCAGCATCAAGTTGAACTTGCCCAACAGCAGGTTAACAATAAAGAGGCTGAAAAGGCAAAATTACTTGAAGAAAAGCAAAGTTTGATTGAAGAGCTCGAACAATCTAAAAAAGCCGCTGAAAAGCATCGTAAAGAAAACGAAAAGATAATTTCAGACCTTAAGGCTCAAATCGAACAAATAAAAACTGAAAATGAAGAAACAAAGAAACAAATTGAGCAAACAACAGAAAAACAAAATACAATTGAGTCTAAAATTGATGAAACTAATATCGAAATCAAGAATTATAACGATGAAATGTTTAAGATTTTAGAAACTCTCAAATTTTATTCAAAAGAGATTCAAACGAATGAATTTAATATATAGCTGATTTTTTATAATATGATGTTTAACGAATTTACTTTATTTAAAAGAAATATTTTTAAAATATTCCAAATGTGGCTAATATTGGCAATTCAATGGCAATATATGTCTTAAAATCAGCATTTTAGCGCACAAACCCGCAATCAGAGCTTTTACAAATATACAAATTTCACAATTTCTGAAAATCTTCACTCTACATTCGGCAACTTAGATATTTTACTGTATTACTCAGTAACAATAATGATATTGTTGAAGATATAGTGAAATGTTTTGAAAGAAAAGTCGAATTTGAAATTCGAATCTCGAAATCCATTAGAATAGCAATCCAACGTATTCAAACAAAGCAAATGCATACTAAGACGTAATAAAAGTCTTATTATATGACTCTTTTTCAATTCTATATGATTAAAAATAAAAATGTTATTTTTTTTGCATTTCATAAGCTGTTTAACTTTCACTATCTCTTATTTGAATGTTAAAACTGAGATATAATTGAATTCGGCATTGTAGTATGCAAAGAATTTGATAAGACTGTCATCTTTTTCAATATTAATTTGTTTGGTTCCTCTCGGCTACAATAATATTATTTTATACTAATTAAAAACAACTACTTTTTAAATTTCATTTAAAAAAAGTTCATATTAGACGTATTTTATACATGGCACAATAGAAGTAAAATATCTGACCTAACAGGGGCCTGTAGTTCCATTGGAGTTTGAAATACTTCCAAGAAAGATCAAAATAAATGTTTAATTCTTTAATATTTTTTTTTATTGGAAAAATTTTAAATGAATAATATAATTTTTGTGATGTTTACTTATCGTCTATTTGGCATCTTTAATGACAATGCATTATGACTATTTGAGTGCTATCACTCAAGTAAAAAGATTCTGCAATGCCTTCGTACCAGCTACATATCTATTTTTTGAGCCTCTTGTATCATTTATCCAAGATTCCGATTTTTTTGAAAAATCACCTTATCTTCTTACAGTTAATAAGCGAGTTATGCGCCTTTTAAATCTAATCTATTCAATAAATGTAGACGAAATACCAAAAGATTCACTTTCATCATATTATCAATTGAAAGATCAAGTTGAGAATCAATTTGATAAATTCACAAGTTATCTAAATGAATTTCTACATTGGACTGACATAGAGTGGCCAGGCATTCTTGAATCATTAGAAACTATCGAAAAAAAGTATAATGCTTATCTCAAACTTAACTTCTTCAAAAGATTTTCCTACAAATCGAAAGAATTATATCCAATAATAAAGAAAATTTGTTGTAACTATAGAGAAAACTGAATCAGGACTTATTTTGGAATTAAAACACTGTTTCGCAGTTTAGAACGTTTTCATGACATATTGGAGGAAACCATTTCTAATGTAACACGATTAGTTTCTATTGTAGAAATAAATCCAAAGCAGCATATTAATCAAATTCACAATCATCAAGATACTCCGAATAGTGAAATTAAAACAAAGGACAATTTAACAGATCTTAAACCTGTTGAAATTGAAACATTTCATATGAGACCAAATCAAGAAACGCCTGGTAAATTATATTAATTGTTTAAAAATTTCTATTTTTATTCATTAATCGGTATCACCAGATTTTTACATGTTTGTTATAATTAAATATACTTTTCGATATTTTAAATTCAATTTGGAGGACTTCAAATATGAGATAGCTTTTCAATGAATGAGAGGTCAGTTGATAAGTATTTAAGTATATTCATTATAAGAAATTGTTAGAGGATATGCTAAATAAAGATGTTGTATTTATGAAAACTGACTTTTATTTTATTTTATCAAACATCTCAGTAATTGGAGCATGGATACAAATATCGTGTTCATAAATATATCATACAATGTTAAATTTTTCATACAACAAATAAAAACTGAAAATGATGAAATAAAGAAACAAATTGAACAAACAACAGAAAAACAAAATACAATTGAGTCTAAAATTGATGAAACTAATATCGAAATCAAGAATTATAACAATGAAATGTTTAAGATTTTAGAAACTCTCAAATTTTATTCAAAAGAGATTCAAACGAATGAATTTAATATATAGTTGATTTTTTATAATATGATGTTTAACGAATTTACTTTATTTAAAAGAAATATTTTTAAAATATTCCAAATGTGGCTAATATTGGCAATTCAATGGCAATATATGTCTTAAAATCAGCATTTTAGCGCACAAACCCGCAATCAGAGCTTTTACAAATATACAAATTTCACAATTTCTGAAAATCTTCACTCTACATTCGGCAACTTAGATATTTTACTGTATTACTCAGTAACAATAATGATATTGTTGAAGATATAGTGAAATGTTTTGAAAGAAAAGTCGAATTTGAAATTCGAATCTCGAAATCCATTAGAATAGCAATCCAACGTATTCAAACAAAGCAAATGCATGCTAAGACGTAATAAAAGCATTTGTACATGATTAAAATAGAAATGTTATTTTTTGCAATTCATAAGTTGTTTAACTTTAACTATCTCTTATTTGAATGTTATAACTGAGATATAGTTGAGTTCTGCATGATAGCGTACGAGGAATTTGATAGGATCGTCATCTTTTTCAATATCAGTTTGTTTGGCTCCTATCAGCTTTTTTTAGTTCACTGATCTACAATAATTTTATTTTATACATGGAACAATGGAGGAAAAATATCTTGCCCAATAGGGGCCTGTAGCTCCATTGGAGGTTGGAATACTGCCAAGAAAGAACAAAATAAATGTTTGACTCTTTATTTTTTTTTTAATGAGAAAATTTTTAAATGAATAATACAATTTTTGTGATGTTTACTTATCGTCTATTTGGCATCTTAATGACAATGTATTATGACTACTTGAGTGCTATCACACAAGTAAAAAGATTCTGCAATGCATTCGTACCAGCTACATATCTATTTTTTGAGCCTCTTGTATCATTTATCCAGGATTCCGATTTTTTTGAAAAATCACCTTACTTTTTTACAGTTAATAAGCGAGTTATGCGCCTTTTAAATCTAATCTATTCAATAAATGTAGACGAAATACCAAAAGATTCACTTTCATCATATTATCAATTGAAAGATCAAGTTGAGAATCAATTTGATAAATTCACAAGTTATCTAAATGAATTTCTACATTGGACTGACATAGAGTGGCCAGGCATTCTTGAATCATTAGAAACTATCGAAAAAAAGTATAATGCTTATCTCAAACTTAACTTCTTCAAAAGATTTTCCTACAAATCGAAAGAATTATATCCAATAATAAAGAAAATTTGCGGTGACTATAGAGATGATTGGGATAAGACTTCTCTTGAACTCAAAATACTTTTTCACAATTTAATACAATATAATAATTTAGTAGAGAAACCATTTCTAATGTAACACGATTAGTTTCTATTGTAGAAATAAATCCAAAGCAGCATATTAATCAAATTCACAATCATCAAGATACTCCGAATAGTGAAATTAAAACAAAGGACAATTTAACAGATCTTAAACCTGTTGAAATTGAAACATTTCATATGAGACCAAATCAAGAAACGCCTGGTAAATTATATTAATTGTTTAAAAATTTCTATTTTTATTCATTAATCGGTATCACCAGATTTTTACATGTTTGTTATAATTAAATATACTTTTCGATATTTTAAATTCAATTTGGAGGACTTCAAATATGAGATAGCTTTTCAATGAATGAGAGGTCAGTTGATAAGTATTTAAGTATATTCATTATAAGAAATTGTTAGAGGATATGCTAAATAAAGATGTTGTATTTATGAAAACTGACTTTTATTTTATTTTATCAAACATCTCAGTAATTGGAGCATGGATACAAATATCGTGTTCATAAATATATCATACAATGTTAAATCTTTCATTCAATAAATCAAATTATTGGTCAAAAATAAATCATATTAGTAATTTAAAGCTACTTATAGAGAATGTTTAAAGAAACGATTTGATTTAAACTTAAATAAAATACGCTTAGCAGCAGGTTGAATGTGGTTTCTCTTCCTGTTCGAAATCGACATTATCAGAGTTTGGAGTAACATCATATGTGCCAGAAGCAACATTAGCCTCGATAACATCAACGCATGCATTGATGGCTTCGTTAATTTGAACTCCTGTCTTTGCAGATGTTTCGAAATATTTCATGTTATGCTGTTTGGCAAAATCTTCAGCTTCCTGGCGTGTGACCTGGCGCTTTTCTGGATTAGCCTCGCAGATATCGACTTTGTTACCGATAAGAAGTGTAACAACATCGGCACGAGCGACATCCTTAACATCTTGAAGCCAGCGGTTGATGTTGGCGAATGAATCGCTGTTAGTAAGGTCGAAAACAAGTAAGGCACCAGCAGAACCACGATAATAACCACGAGTAACAGATCTGAAAAGTTCCTGGCCTGCTGTATCCCAAAGTTGAAGCTGGATGCGATGCTTTTCTGTTGAAACGATTTTTGTCATAAATTCAACACCAAGTGTTGGCTGGGAATCCTCATCCCATAAGTCACGAATGAACCTGATAAGAAGGCATGTTTTACCGACACCAGAGTCGCCAACAACAACGACCTTCAATGAATAATCAAATTTGCGCCCAAGCATATCTGAGTGTCACTTTTATTAAAAGAAGAACGATGGTCTAACCGATTCTCAGATTTTATTCAGACAGGTGAAGCAATAATAATTAATGAGCAATATGTCTAGTAAAAGATTTTAAAGGTACATTCACTAGGCGATAACAGTAAAATGGGATGAAAATAGGATAAATAGCATCCCTATATAGTGCCTAACAATATTTATACGGGCCAAAAAAAATTTGGCTAGAGATTTGGCGAGTTAGAAAACTTAGAAAATTGAGAGGGATTTTTATTTTTGAATTTTTTTGGAAAGTTAAAATTGCGATTAAAAATCGATTTCCGGGAGAACTAAGCATCTCATCATATATTTAAATCGATAAAAATATTAAATAATAGCTGAATAGTATAACAACGTGAAATTATGGCTGAATATACAGAAAAAATGAACATATTTGACATTTTTGAAAATTCATACGTTAGATGGTGACAAACTCATAAACTATACTTTAGCTAAGATTGATATATGGTTTCAACAACACATGGTTAAAATCGTAAAAATATTTTAGATTTCAAAAAGATATATATGGTAATATAATGGAACAGAGTCAACAAATAGCATGTAAAATATGTTATAATTAACTTTTTATTAGATCTAATAGTATATATCGAATGGTTTCCAGCTTTATGGTTAATTATTTTCTTTTCGAGCTTCTCTTTAACTGTTGTATTAAGGTTGTAAATTTTTGATGCTAGAAACTATGGAATCTTCTTTGCTGCTGCATTTTTCTTGAGAGTTCTTGCAATTTCGAATATATCTGCGCATTGTATGAAATGGGGCCTTTAAAATATCTTGAATCATAATAGGACTGCTTTTCCAAAGGAATGCTTATTTGTAAATCAGAGAGTTTCAAAATTGAGTGCAAGATTATCATCATAACTTAATAATTTTGTAGCATTTTTCTAAATATGCTACAAAATTATCATTCTCAATTGAATGATGAATCGAAAGAATTTTGTAGCGTACGATTATTTTCCCTTGAAAAATAAATTAAAAATTTTGTATATTTAATCATACTGTTTAATGAGCATCCTAATTTACTAAAAATAAAAAGACGATAGAAAATATTCAAAAAACTTGAGGCAAACCCAAATTTTAGCTAAAAGTGACAGGGAAAAAAACGTTTAGTATTAAAAAAAAGACCGATGAGAGCTTCGTTCGAAATATAGAGGGAACTGAGAATGCGCAACCATTCTCAGGGAATATTGGATGCTATTCCCGTTCCCTCTGTATGGAAAATTGAGGTTTTCAAAGGGAGTTAAAATAATATCAAATTTATACTAATTTACTTCAAAATACAAAAGTATTTGACAGCTAAAATTAGTTACTTTAGCAAGCCTATCAATACCCTTTTACGATTATTGTTACTTTTTCGAAATAAAAGTAAAAATAAATTTATACTAATTTACTTCAAAATACAAAAGTATTTGACAGCTAAAATTAGTTACTTTAGCAAGCTTATCAATACCCTTTTACGATTATTGCTACTTTTTCGAAATAAAAGTAAAAACAAATTTATACTAATTTACTTCAAAATACAAAAGTATTTGACAGCTAAAATTAGTTACTTTAGCAAGCCTATCAATACCCTTTTACGATTATTGCTACTTTTTCGAAATAAAATAAGTTTATTATCAAAAACCTTTTTTTTCTTAGTAAAAATAAAAATGTTATTTTATATCAAGTTTTTATTCATAAATTTTTATAATGTTGTATAAATTTCATTAAAATTTACGTACATATTAAGGTACTTATCTTCTACATATATAATCTTCATTAGATATATACATGATAAATAAAATTCATAAAACATTAAAAATCAAAAAATTAGATGAACCTTGGCAATTAAACTTTATTAAATAATAGTTGTTTATAAATTATATTATATTATTATTTAATATTATTTTGATAATGAAGATTTTATTTTGCAATAATATAAAAAGGTGACCAAACTATTTTTTGAAAGTCCGCCATAACTTTAATGGTACTATTTCAGCGTGTACAATGAATACAAAAATTCTAAGGGTGCCACATAAAATAGTACTTTAGACTTGAGTTAATGCTACCAAGCAAATGTTAAAAAGATGACTTTAGTGTTTTGATAATCAAAGATTAAAATCATTATTGTCTAAATCAATAATCATAACGACAGAATTTAATGTTTTTTCATAAGTGCTTTAAATCCACTTTTAAAAGTATACCTCAAAAATCAAAATATCAAAAAAAATTGGCCGATAGGTTTGGCTTTAATTTTTGTCTGCTTTTATGATTTGATATGGATGTTATAATTTTAAAAGTTGAGCCAAATTCACCAATAGATTTTTGAGATTTGCAAATACTCAATAATTTTCAGCGTGTTATCTTTTATTAAAAGAACTATTTGGTTTCAGTATCATATAAATTGATATTTACTTTCTATTTGAACCTTCATTTAGCTAATGATTTAGTAATACAGATTTCATCTAATCCTTATAAGAGAATTTTGAATTTGTTATAATAAAAAAACAAACAGATATAGCTTACACTTCTATAATAAAGATACCTTTTATAGAAATCAGTATGAAATGTGTTTTTTGACACGTAAAGCTCTCAATTCATTATAACATGTTTGTCGATTTTTATATATTTTTCGCTTTCATTATCTATGATATTAAAAATTATGTCATCAGAATGTGAAATAATTAAACAAATGCCCTACGGGAAGTATTTTAAAAATTGATTGTAATTATAGTTAGATTAACCATCATCACTTGCAAACTGAACTAATTTACTACTTCTCCAATTAACACTCGTGAACAATGTTTTTTTAAAAAAAATATAATTTTTTATTCTAAATTTTACATTAACATGTCATTTATTATGATCTCATAAAACATATCCATATATTATAGTTACAGTAATATTAAAATTTCAAATTTTGAATTAATTTGGTTATATTATGACCATTAAGTCAAGATTCCAACTTCTCTATGCTATCTATGAATTTCAACTCTATATGTAACTAACACGTTATAAGTTTTGTTTATAAATATAAGGTGCATTTCAGTAAATTACTCTTTTATAATAGTTCTTTTATTACAGCTATAAAATCTATACTAAATCTATATGTTTTTATACTAAATTTATTAATTGTAATACTAATTTTAATTGTTGCTGATCATATGCTAAATTTTATATGAAATTCTTAATTAGAAACTTGAGTTGAATATATATTATATGAAACAATCGGTGTTTAAAACAAAATACAGCTTGATTTATATAGTAATTTATGCTTTACATGTATTTTATATAAATTTTTATTGAATTCAAATATTCAATAGTTTTTTATGCTAGATTGTTGCATGCTAAGTTCGGTCAACGATAGAAATTGAGTGGAAATTAATCGTCGAGGAAGTACGATTATGTAAAGTAAAAAAAATGTTGTGGGATTTTTAATATTATATATTATTTTATAATAACATTTTTTTGAGTCATTTTAAGAAGCACATATAATTTTTTGAATTTAAAAATTAAAGTAGTGTCAAACGAATTTATCACTTAATTTAATACTCAGATTTCTTAAAATTAATGAAAAAAAGGTTTTCTGAGAACTTTTGAGAATGGTTTTCAAATTCCATTATTGAAAATATATAGGTATTGTATGAAATTCCAACTCTATATTTATTAAAATTCTAAATTTTTAATAAAATAACTTTTCAGAGGAATATGATTTTGAACGGTTGATTAATAAGAATAAAAATGTCTACGATTTTAAGGAGGGAATTGTTCCTTATGAGGTATACATCATAACTATATACCTCATAAGGAACAATTCCCTCTTGATATCCTGGATATTTTTGAATATATTTTTTTAATTAAAGTTCTCAAAAGTATTATCAAAAGTGATTTTTAAAAATATCTCCAATTAATTAACTAATTAAAAGTATTATATTTTTAAAATTAAATAGTTTTTCAATTTTTTTGAAGGAATTGAGATACTTCCCACGACAATAAAATTGAGAGGTTTACATTATGACTGATCTTAGCATGCAACAAGATTAGTTGTATTTATTTAAATATATTATATTGGCAACCTTTCTTTACCCTGTCCTAATAAACGCATTTTGTAAAAAATATAGTGCATCAGTTTCGAACTAGCGTCCCCGGTACCAAATAGTAAGGGGTAATAACCATTCGACCATTTGCCACGTAAAGCATCGCCAGATTTTTTTGTATTTAATCACTCCCAAAACACTGTTTTGGCTTATTGGAAGCATATCAGACATAATCGCCATAATCAAAAAATCTATATACCCAATAAGTAATAAATTTGTCGATATAGATTTTCCATAAAATTAGTTTTTAGTCTGATCTTAAAATAAATTTAATTTTTTATAAAAAAATCACATTTAAAAGTACCTTTTTAGTAGCTCGAAATCCTGTTGGTGGATTTCGGGCGTACTTCAAAATTAGCTTTTCTTCTACATATGCAAGCTATATTTTAAATATGGAGCAAATCGGATCGGCGAAAGGAGTTTAGTTACCTTTTAATATAAACGAAATTTTTTACCTTATGAACTTTTGATGGAAATATGCAAATTTAAAATAATAAAGAAAGCCGCGAGCGAATCGAGCGGCTTAGGTCGATCGGTAATCACACCCTTCACGGGTGTGTCACTTTTTACATGTGTGTCACTTTTAGCTAAAATTACCCCTACTCCTAAAACTTTAGCCATGAATAGGATGTCAATCTTAAAGTCATTTCCTACCTCCTTCATACATGAAATTAAGAATAAAAGTTAATTTTTTAAAGTTTTTTAGTGATTATTTTTCAATGGAAAATAATCGTATGCTACAAAATTTTCGATTACTGATCGGGTGAGAATTTTGATTTTGGTGCAAAAAAGGAAGACAAGTAATTAACAAATCATTTACTGTTGTTCATCAAAAGAAGAAAACTTTGATAACAACTAATGATGATAAAATCAAGCTATCTTTTAATATTTTAAATTGATAAGACATTCAAAATATTTGAATGGTTTAAAATATTTTCTTTTAATTTCTATAAGATATTATCATGATTATATAATAAAATTTAAATTTTTATTCAAAAAGGCAATATTTCAAACTTTTAATTTCAAAAATCTTAATTCTGCAATAAATGTATTTAATTGTAGCAAATTTAATGATCCTTCGTCATGCTTAGCAATTTGGAACTCATAAATTAATGATTTCTTCAAGTAAAATTCTGCATTATTTCAAAAGTCAATAATTCTCTAGTAACTTTTCTTCAAACCCTAACCATTATATTATAGGTATAATGGAGAATAATTGCAAAGAAAGATAGCCGAATTTACTGGGTAGTTCTTGTGATGCGAAATAATTGCAAATTAACACCTAGTTTTAACAGCATCAATCTCTTTTTGCTCTCATTTAAATGCATTCGCACACTTTAATTTTGAAATAGAAGAGTTTTGGAAATTATCAAATTTATCTGCTCAAATACTATAGATCTTCATAAGTGTTAATAGAATCATTAGCCTTACATATAGTGTTTAATATAATGATGCACATTATACTGGGATTCATTCCTTATTCATCTAGTTATTATAAGATTTACAACCCCATGAAAATTTAAAATTTTGTCAAAAATAGTGAATGTACCTTTAAGATTTTCCATATTTCCTAATTTCGTGAAGAAATCGTCTGAAAATGACAAACGAAGTAATTTTATAGCGTTGTTGAATTAATAATTAACGAGGTGATGATAAATGATTCAGAATTTTATGATTTCTGATCTTAATTTTGATTGATCAAAATCGTATTTAGCGATAGAATTAAACTGAATAAAAAATATTAAAATAATTAAAATGTTTAATATCTACGAAGTGTATTTCTAGCTGTAGTAATGATGCGTGTGCCTTCATCTGTTGAAGGAGCGCCAATCATTTCCTTGAGAGCCTTGAGATCAATGATTGTACTTGTAAGTGGCTTCATGACTTCAACGCGGTTGAGAGTGTCAACTTGTTGAATCCATGGATGCTTCAAAAGTTGAGGAATTGTGCAACGGTTCTTTGGATCTTTGCTCATTGTGTGAGCGATGAAGTCCTTGAATTCTTTTGTAACAGCACGAGGAGCTCTGAATCCTGGGAATCCATGAGCCGCAATATTCATCATAGCTTTTGTTGGTTCGAGCTCGCAATATGGCGGAGCACCTTCTACAAGTTCGATTGTTGTGGCACCAATTGACCAAATATCAGCTGGATAGCTATATGGCTGAGAATTAATAACTTCTGGAGCCATCCAGTAAGGAGTACCTATAGATGACATTGTATTTAATGTTCCTCCTGAAAAGTCACGAGAAATTCCAAAGTCTGTAAGTCGGATGCCGCCGTCTGACATCAAAAGAATATTTGCTGCTTTAATATCGCGATGGAGAACTTTGTGCTTCGTATGCAAAATGAGAATGCCACTGAGGACATCCTTGATTACAATGGCAGCTTGCTTTTCAGTTAAGCAAAGGTTTCTGTAGTCAATCATGTCTCTAAAGGATCCTCTATCACAGTACTCCATAAGAATCATCTGTTGTTTGTTGAAAATAATATTTCCAAAATATTGAACTGTATATGGGCTGTTAATCTTTTTGAGTAAGTCGATTTCTTTGAGAAGAGACTGTTTTGCACTAGAGCTCATGGATTCTTCATTGACGACCTTACCGGCAAGCCTGTATCCAGATTGAGTATGAAGCATTTCATAAACTGCTCCAAATCCGCCTCGCCCGATTTCACGGATAATCTGGAAATTATCCTCTGGCTTAACAGATGGATCGAATGTCCATTTCATATCTCTATCAACATGGAGATTGTGGGTAACTGCGACTGGTTTACTAATTTTCATTATAAAATGTTTTAGTTTTTGTCAATCCAAAAAAAAATTTTTATGACAAGAGAGGTGGGTCAACGATAGAATAAGGTTAAAAATTTCGTTTCGAGCATAATAAATCAATTATATTGAGCTATCTAATAAATATATTTAAATAATATCATAATAGATAAATCATACACTTCCTAATAAATCATTTTGAATATGGATGAATAGCATAAAAATGATCTCTTGAAGTGTAATTTGAAGAAAAAACGAATCATGATAAAAAGGTAGGTTTATCGAGTATAAATTGTTTATTTGTAAAACCATTAATAAATTTAACTTCAAATGATAGGGTCAAGTTTGAATGCAAAATTCTAAATAATTTTCTATTAGAATTCTTAGAGCTTGATTCTAATGTAATGTGTTCTTAGTAAAGTATCGTAAACGAGATATCCAATTAGGAACCACACGTTTGTTTTTAAAATAAAATTTGTACTTTTTGAATTAAGACCGAAGTTTGGTAGATCATATCAACAGTGCAAATTGTTCGTGATACTAGTAAGTTAATTGAAAAATGATGATGAGAAAAAAAGGGAGTAGAATGATAGGACATATCACACCAAAAATAAATGAATTTTTGTAAATCAAATATGATTAAATGAATTTAAATAGATTATAGGAGATAGTAATTAATAAAAAAAAAGTAAAATGTTATTCACCAAAAAAGTACGTTAGTTAACGGTTTTTTAATAGTAAAATAAATATAAAATACACAATAGGAAAGTCATGTAGAATTAGTTATTATTAAAATTATAGAGAAAAGGAGCAAGATAAATTAAAAAAAAATTCTCGAAATTTGAATACAAATGCCTTTTTAAAAAGTGTTTGTATTAATTTCGAGAATCCTAATTTTCGAAAATTGAAACGACGAGTTTCAATTTTCGAAAATTACAAATTTTATTATAACGTTTTAGACTAAATTATTTAGATTTTAAAAAGAATATTAAAAGTATAATATGAGTTTGTGAAAATGATTTCAACATTAGATAAAATAAATCGAATGAGATATAAAAATGATAAAGTTACTGTTTTAACCGTAATGACTTGTATATGTGTTGTATTTGCTAAATAATTGGATATGGAAATAAAGAATTTATCTAATTATCATTATTGTGCTATATTGAATGTGATGAGTAGTTTGAAATTGATAATAAATTAATTTATTGAATCAGTTAACATCTGAAGAAATTTTGAAGGGTATATATGACGTACAAATGTACTAATCTCAAACGATTGGTACATATGTATCAACTTTTTTTGAATCACAAAAAATTCAAAGAAAATTTGAAACCAAGACAGATATAACAATGATATGTCTACCTTTGAACTGTATATGACAGTTCATATGCATCAAAAACAGATTGTTGATGCATATGTTTCATCTTTTCTTTAAATCAAAGAAGATTCAAAGAAAAGTGGATAGAAAGAAAGCCATTGTTTTGTGATGGCTTTCTTTAAAAGCATATATTGGTTAGAATTGTACAAGTCTCAAAGAATTAGTAGATATGTATCAACTTGTCTTGAAATCATAAAGGATTCGAAGAAAAATTGAAAAAAAGACAGCCATTGATAGACAATGGTTGTCTTTTTGTGCAACATTCACTTGTATTGACAACAATAACAAGTTATTGTTGCTCATAATGCAACTTTGTGAAGAATCATTTGTGATTCTTCTTAAAGTTGTATCAAAGACACTCATTATTATATAATGATTGTCTTTGTGTGCAACATTCACTTGTATTGACAACAATAACAAGTTATTGTTGCTCATAATGCAACTTTGTGAAGAATCATTTGTGATTCTTCTCAAAGTTATATCAAAGACACTCATTATTATATAATGATTGTCTTTGTGTGCAACATTCACTTGTATTGACAACAATAACAAGTTATTGTTGCTCATAATGCAACTTTGTGAAGAATCATTTGTGATTCTTCTTAAAGTTGTATCAAAGACACTCATTATTATATAATGATTGTCTTTGTGTGCAACATTCACTTGTATTGACAACAATAACAAGTTATTGTTGCTCATAATGCAACTTTGTGAAGAATCATTTGTGATTCTTCTCAAAGTTGCATCAAAGACACTCATTATTATATAATGATTGTCTTTGTTTCAACTTTTCTTCGAATCTTTTGTGATTCAAAGAAAAGTTGATCTAAAAGTACCAAACGTTTGAGATTGGTACATTTGTACGCAATATATGCTTTGAAAGAAAGCCATGACAAAAGAATGTCTGTCTTTGTTTCAACTTTTCTTCGAATCTTTTGTGATTCAAAGAAAAGATGAAACATATGCATCAACAATCTGTTTTTGATGCATATGAACTGTCATATACAGTTCAAAGGTAGACATATCATTGTTATGTCTGTCTTTGTTTCAACTTTTCTTCGAATCTTTTGTGATTCAAAGAAAAGATGAAACATATGCATCAACAATCTGTTTTTGATGCATATGAACTGTCATATACAGTTCAAAGGTAGACATATCATTGTTATGTCTGTCTTTGTTTCAACTTTTCTTCGAATCTTTTGTGCTTCAAAGAAAAGATGAAACATATGCATCAACAATCTGTTGTTGATACATCTGAATTGTATTATACCCTCTAAAAGAAACCCTAACAATCAAATAGCTTTCGTTCTATCAATTTTTCTTCGAATCTTTTATGATTTATAAAAGAATTTATAAATATAATCAGATTCAATTCTAACTTTACATATATATACTATTTATCTATATAAATATTCAAAATACTAGTTAAATAAAATTATTAGACATAATTCAACATAATATATTCAAAATATAAAATTATGTCCTTTTTGAACTAAAATCTCTAATATCAAAAATACCCCTAGTCTCATAAGTTAAATACTTCATCAAACTCATAATATAAATATTAGAAAAAAAAATATAATTTATATATCCTTTTTCTTTTTGAATCAATATATGGAAATTATTACCAACACTACTAGTACAATTCATCCAATATTCCTAAATATGTTCTTTTCGATAATAATTTTTCTTTGAAAAATTGTATGCTGAAAAGTTATTCAAAAATCCAATCCATGAGTGGAAATCATCAATACTAATATATGACCAATTAAATATAATGTTTCTAGCATTCTTATAGTCCAATTTTTCTCTCACAAATTATAAAATTTTATTTTCAACTTAACTGTCCTATCTCATTTAAATCTTTATTGTATTATCAATATATTTGTATTATTTCTCCCTATGAATTTCGCTATAACTTATTTTATAATTTTTTCGTAAAACTTTTATAGATTTCATATTTGTATATATTCATTGACTAAAATAAACAAATTTTCATTATTTAGATTTTTGATTTTCTCATTGTTTGTTTTTCTTTTTATAACTTTTATAAAAAAATCTTTTTTCTTAATCAATTTATTAACAAAATTTCTCGAAAATTAACGTGAGAAATCCTTAACCATATGTCATTTCATACTCATATAGGTACTCCCTGCTTACATTATAAAACTCAAGGAATTCTGATAGAGATTCGATTTTGAGCTATCGTTGACCCACCTCTATGACAAGTAAATTCTCAATGAAAGTCTATTATCTGGCGATTTAAAATGCCAAACCATGACATAATGTTTTTACAGAGTCCAAATCATAGGCTGTTGATCCATTTCCAAATTTCAAAGGAGAAAGGGACAGACTAGCCCATTGTCACTTTTCAATTTAGCAAATGAACGCTTATGGAGTGAGTTAGTATGGTTAAGTTGGGTACTGTGGCACTGCGCGCCTCCGTACACCACTTAACGGTTTTGACACTTTACGTAACCGGTAACGTATATTTTACAACACAAACGACAACACTAACTTAACCTTAAATATTTACAAAGCCACCAACCACTTCACTAACGAACTCACTAATGTAAAAAATAAACGTTCTCACTATCGTTCTCACTAACGACTTCACTAATGTTCTCATAAATTTTCCTCAATATCTTCATCATCAGTGTTAACCCTATTGTAGTCATACTTGAAGCCATAAACTTTCTCTAACTTCTTAACGTACAATTTACATAACTTACCTTCGTCATCGTATGGTTTAATGATATAACTATTTCTATCTTTATACACAGTCAATGAAAAGTCAACTGGTCTCGGATGTATTTGAAAGAACATGTTATGCTCAGGAAGGAAGAATAAATGTTTAAATGTATGTTTGTTATACTGTGGAATTCGAATGAGTTGCTTTTGTTCTGTCATTTACATCCAAATAAAAATTTTCAGTAAAAATAAAAAATAAACTTAAAAATTAATGATATCACCACCCTCACACGTATGAAAACATAGCGCAAAAATAAATTTAGGTGAAGTGGTGAGATTTCACCTCTTTTTTCACCTGTTTTTTCACCCACTTGAATTCATTGCTTTATAACTCTCTTCCTTGGTTTCTTTTTAGTTGCTTTCTTCACGTCTGTCTCCAACTTGACTGTCTTTCTTCTTCGTCCGTAATGATACCAATTACTTCCACCAGTCAATGGGTCAAATGGTCTTTCGTAAGGGTTTCCATACATTCCATAGGGACCATACGGAAGAACTACTGGTGGAGGAAGAGTTCCATCGACTCTATTTAAATGCATTGTTTCACCTTTCATCTGGTCATTAAAGTCTTTTGCGTGTTTTGCAAACTCATCGTCCTTTCCTAAAGCATTTTCTGACTCAGTCGCAACCAAATTGGATGCTTTATTTATGAGTCCTATTTTATTTAATCTTAACTTCTTTGCAACCCAGCCTCCAATCTTTCCTTTATTTGCATCTAATGTCTTCGAAACTCTTCCTCCACTCATTTTATTTACTGCGTCATAAGCTCCAAGTGCTTTTGCTCCAAATGCTAATGCTTTTGTTCCCATTGCGCCTAAAGCTGCCCAAGCTACCATTTACACCATATTAAAATCATCTCTCTTCAATATTATCTCATAAAAGTTCTCGTTACTGGAGAAAGTCAATGAAACATAAACATTCTCATTCATAAACTTCTTTCTTATATCATCTATTCGCTTCAAAATGTCTGAACAATTGCTAACATCTTCTACAACAGTTATTTCATCATGAATGACCTTCAAGAACAAGCTCATTTAATATGCTATTAAAATCATCTCAATAATGAGTCCATCCTTTCCATCTTTAGGTAGCACAACATCTTTCATTGAAGAAGGTTCGACAAGTCTTATGTTAAACTTACTGACAAAGTTTGTTATACTATAATGCTTCGGTGGCGAATACATGTAGTTTGAAAGACATAATATAGATTCTTCAGCAAATTCACTTATACTGGATTTTATAACAATGTTCTCACGAGACCAAATACCACCAATTGACAATCTTGTAAGCAATCCTGCTGAACCTTCAACTGTAAACGTCGATGGTAACATTCCACGAAGGTCATCTATTGACATCTTTGAGTCACTGAATTTAAATATTTTCTTAAAGCAATCGTCATTATCTAACCATGCAATAGCTTTGAAGTTTTCATTCGAATATACATCTGCTTCATTAAATGTAAAACCCGACTTCTTTGCAGAGATGACTTTAAAATCTATTGAGTTTGTTTCAAAATTATATGCTATGCTAACTTCTGAAGGTAATGGATGTCCTTCCGCAGTCAGTTGTTCTCTCACTACCGTTTGAAGCTTTGTGTTAAAAACTTTCATGTCATCTCCTGTGTCTAGGTTCACATACACAGCAACAGGAAAACTATCTTGCTTCTTTGTTTCATCATTATACCTCAAAACATTAAAGTTCTTCAATAATATTGTTCTTCCTGCTGGAATACTTCGAACCTGTCTGATTTCAATAGCTTTCTCACCTCCTACATACTCTACCCAGTGCCTTGGATATTCATAAGTATACTGACTTTCTTGAATTTTGGTAGGTTTCATCATAACGTGTTCATAGTATATCTTTATACTCTTGTCAGTTAGACTCGGTGCTATGTTCTGAATATTTCTGACTTGCATTTTTAATGGAGATAAAATGAAGCATTTAATACATGACGTAGATGAAGACATGAATGAAACTACAGACAAACTTAACTCTTCTCTCATTCTTCCTTTCAGTAAGGACTATGAGTTCTGTTCAAATGGCGTTTATTTCTATTGTGGAAAGATGGGTTCAGGTAAGACATTTAACCTCATTCGTCATATACTCATAACAGAACGTTTAGGAAATGACTCATATTATGACCAAATCATTATATCAGCAACTTCAGACTCTATGGACTCAACAGCGAAAACATTTATGTCAAAAGTTCAAGCCTCTGTCGTTAAAGTTCCAGACAGTGAACTCATTGAATTTCTTCAACGTTACATTCGACGTAAGAGGAAATATTATGCCATCGTTGAATTTATACAGTCAGGAATGCAAAAGACTTCTGAGGAGATGGAAAGAATTATTGACAAACACCACTTACGTCAGTACTCAGGAGTTTACGATATGAAACGACTGACAAACTACATTCTATCAAAACTTTCAAAATACCCCTTCAAAAAATATCCTTCAAACACTCTGCTCGTTTGCGACGACTTCGCTGGTAAAGGTTTAGTGTCAAAACCAGACTCACCATTAGCTAATATCATTACTAAAGTCAGACATTACCACTTAACTGTAGCAATACTTATGCAAACATGGAGGTTTTTAGCTTTAAACATAAAACGTCTCATAACTGACTTCGTTATCTTTCAAGGTTTCTCACGTTATGATATTGAACTCATTTGGAAACAGTCAGGTATAACATTACCTTTTGAAGAAATTTGGGAAGCATATAAGTCTCTCATCTCTCCTCGTTCATACCTTGAGATTCATATCATGACTAATACCATTAAAGTCAAAAATATTCCATGGGAACGACCAACATTGTTTTAAAGTTTAACCTTCAATTGACTGATGGTAAACAAATTCCATGCATCTCTGTCGCCATTTCTGTTAATATTTTTGCTGTCATTCATATCATCCACTTCTCCATCCGTTAGCTTTTGAGGATATGCGTTAGAATAGCTGTTCTTAAATGAAGGCTTTTCACCTTTGAGAGCATAAACTCTATAACTTTCTGCATACTTTATGTTTGAACCTCCTGAGCCATCATTGACATAAATTTTTATAGGCTTCCACCCTTTGTTCATGTTCCTGCTTCTTCCCTTAGCTCTTTTGTTCAGTAGTTCTACATCTTTATACACAGCTCCTGTCTCAGTGAATTCAACAATATTTTCATTCGTTAGCTTTACATTCAAACCCTTGTCGAGTATATTGTTCATTTCATACATATAAAAGGTTTTTATTCTATATGAAATGAGAAGCAAATCCATCTTAGCTGGTGCCGTTAATGTTCCAATTGAACCAACATCAAATGTTGACTCACGAACGACAAACAATATTGTCATAAAGAACTATAGTTCAGAGTGTTTGAAAGAAAAAGAACCAGAACTGAAATCCGTGAATTTAAACTCAGCTTCAAACGCTAACGCTACATCAGATGTTAAGTTAGAGTATCCACCACTGGACCAAGTTCTTTCAAGAGAAGCCAACGACAACCCTTACACAAATGTTCAAACAAATCCTTCAGATAACGTAGACCATTACCTTCTTCAGTTATACCAAACAATTTTACTCAAAGACGATAAGAAGCTTTTGACAAATCTTATAAGTAAGAACCAAATAATTTTAACAAAGGAGGACCTTGAAAATGTTATCTCACGAATAACAGGGAAACAATGTGTCATTGACTATCTCGACCCTGAAATCGAATGCTGTGGTCAAACGCCACCATTCATGAAAATAGGTAACATCCGCATCATTGAAACACCAGGAACTACAGGAGTTGAGTTTAAGTATAAATATTCGAACGAGTATACAAAACTATCTACTTACTATAAGCTTTGTTTGAAATATGTTTTAGTAAATTAAAGCAATTTGTAATATCTATCCAAAACTTCTTCAACAGTATCGAACTCATCTTCATAATGCAAACCTAATCTTATTGACTTGGTGCAGTTTTCACTAACACAATATAGCGCTTTGCGCTCGGCGCCTTTGACGCCTTTTTCTGTTCTCTTGACTGACATAACTAACTCATTTGTTTCATCAAACAGCAATAACCAAAGTTCATGACCTAATACATAACATTCATACTTTATATTTTTAGCTCTGAGTTCTCTTGTAAGCTGTTGCATTTAATATTTTCTAAAAAGTCAACTTCAACAGTCATTCGCACTGGTGCCTTCAGTTCTACAGGCTCTCCTTGAAAGTCAACTAGTCTGAATTGCATGTCTTTCAAATTATGAGGACTAATGCGAACCCATTTACCTAAATGAGTTGCTATGACAGGAACGTTTGGAATGAACATTGAATTTACTTCATAACAGAAGGATTTATATTCTACTGAACCTTTACTATTAACTCCTGAAATACCTGTGACATTAGCTATTTTTGACTCAATGTACAAACAATTGCCATAACATACGTATGGAACAGATTTCATCTCAATCGTTTTGTCAACACTTTTCAAAGGAAATGTCATATGGTATGCTCCTAAAAGAAGTTGAACTCTATGACTCATTCGTGTTATCTTAAACTCCTTTGCATAACTGAACTTCAAAACTCCTGCAATAAGTTTAACATTCATTAAGTTTTCTTCGTTATCCTTGTTTATTGTAGTATTTATGAGAGCATTTAACACTCCAGCTAATGTTTCCATCTTATATTCTACATTATTGTGAAATCTTATTTCGTGCTTCTTTCCATCTATTTCAAGCTCCATGAAATCTGTTTCATCTGTTATGACAAAAGTTGCGATAGTATTGAAGTCAACCATTCTGAATGCAAGCGCCTCATTCTGTAGACCTAAGTTTGTTTGTAGTTTTACTGTCCCGTATTCGTTTGGGTCTGTACTTTGCAAATAGAACAACATTTTATTCTCATTATTAATATAGCTGCATATGCGTATGAAGCTGACAGAGCTAAACGTTTATATTTTGGTCAATACTCTCTCACACTTACTGACAAATATATTGTTATCAGTGATGGAAATACCGAGAAATACATAACATGGAAGGACTATGAAAAGTTTGACCCCATTTTAACTCCATGCACTATGCCATTCATTGTAAATGGTGAAGTTGTCATGAAGAACGACACAACAGTATATAAGTCTGTTCATGAAGCGTTAGAATATATGTTGAATTATAATCCCGAAAGATTTGACCCAAGCACTACGCCATGTACAATGCCTTTTATTAAGGATGGTGAAATCGTAAGAGTTCCGGATTCAACGGTTTACACAGCTGTTCAAAACAGTTTACAAAACATTTTAGCGAATATCTTTAATTCAGAAACTACAGAAATAAAATTACCATATATAACAGATGCTAAAGAAATTAAATCAAAAACGACAACATTATTTACGTCACTTAATGATTTAATGACTTATATCATTAATATTCCTGCACCAACTACAGCATTTGATCCAAACTCGACGGTTTGCAGTGTACCTTTCATAAAGTCGCAAACGGACTCTTTGAGTCCTGAAGGTCTTTCAGACCGAAGCGACCAGGGCGAAGCCCATGACAGTTCAGTAATTGTTTTAAGGGATTCAACAGTTAATGAATCATTAAAGGCTTCATTAATGAAAATCATTGATTTTAACTCATTCATGAATACATATAATTCATTCATTAATGTTTCATATGCTTCTAAAGAAGGTGAGCCAAAAACTATCGATAAAGCGGTGTATGAAATAAAAGCATCAACGACGAAATTGAATTCGTTAACTTTTGACGGTGATAGTTTCGTTAATGACATAACATCGGGGAAAACAATTTTAACGAAAGAATATTTAAAATCTCATGTTAGTGAGTTCGTTGAAATTGAAAAAGAAGGTGGAATTAAGTTCGATCCACTGAATTTCATTTTCAGCTTAGCGAATGCGGGTGTTAGTTTCGCTGAATGGACAACTATACAGAGTGAAATAAATGCAATATGGACGTTTTTGGGGTCAAAAGCGGGAATGGGTGAGCTTGTAAATGCTGCAAGAACATTAGGTGAAACAGGAAATTTTGTAGATGGTTTTAAAAGACTTGTTTCAAATGTTTTAACAAACACAAAGAAATTATTTAGATATACCGTACATAACGGACGGATTTTCGAACAGGTAGCAACAAACCCTCCGGTTATGGCTGCGTTGATGATGGTTAGAGATATAAAACCACGTAACGACGGGAACGAAGAACATGAACAACAGAGCCCAACGGGCTCAGAGCCACATAGTGGCGAGGATACTGGTCGGGTTATTCAAGACATTAAAAACGTGTATCCTGAAGTTATTGATTTATTTAGAGGAGTTAATGATTCAATTTCAAAACATTCTATAACCCTCGATGAAGAGAATAAATTAACAGATTATATATTCGTCATTATTGCAGAATTAATGAAGAGAATAAATGAAAAAGGAATTGGTGATATCATTAATGTCAGCGATGTAATGATGAAAAGAAATTTTGACTCATTATTTACAAAACCGAAAACAGAATATAGTCTTTATGACGTAATTACCGAATTAATGAAAAAGATTAATGATAATAAGAGTTCTGGCGGAAGAGTTGAATTAGAAGTGAATGATGTTAATGAGAAATTAGCCGAAAAAGCAGATAAAAACCACGTTCATTATATAACTTCAGACGAACAGATTATAACGGACTACCATGGATATTTAACACGAAGTGATGAAGCGAAGACAAAAAATGTTAATGAAAGAAGATATAAATACATTCGTGCTAAAGGTTATGACATAAGCTGTACTGTACAGTATGATGTAGCTAAAGCACCAGAAGCATTTGGTTATACCGGTGAAATTTATGCCTCTACTTTCAATGTTAATGGTGTATTAGTTGAACCAAGATTTACTTTGAGAGTTAAGTCAAAAATAACGTTTGAAGATGCTATTAAAAGTAAAGCTGACAAAGATGAACTTGACGCAACGAACAAAGTTTTGAAATCTCATAAACACAACATCTCCGATATAAATGAACTTCAAACTTCTTTAGACAGTAAAGCTGACAAGAACCATACACATAAATCCTTCACTACTGTTAGAGCAGACGACATAATATTGAACTTTGACCTTGGTTCAAGTGCACCTTTAGAGAATCCAAGTACAAGCGTAAAAGATACACTAAACTCCTTAAATAACAAATGTATGAACATTGAAGGTCATGTCAGAAACTTTGAAACACATGAACTACCAGCAATGTTAGATAAGAAAGCAGATAAGAACCATACACATGATTTCTTCACAACTGTTGCTATAGAAAGTATTGAAGGAACGGTTGAAGAAACTGGTGGGGATGCATTATATTGTAAACCTCCTAACTTTCCACAAGGTTTAACATCGGATGACGACATAACGACGATGAGAAACATTAGATGTAAAGATGTTTATGTCATGAAGGATGAACATAATATTAAATTCACTGCTCAAGATTTATATGACAAGAAAGCAGACAAGAACCATACACATAAATCCTTCACTACTGTTAGAGCAGACGACATAATATTGAACTTTGACCTTGGTTCAAGTGCACCATTAGAAAATCCAAGTACAAGCGTAAAAGATACTCTTAACAATTTAGATAAGAGTTGCAGGAATACCGAAGATCATGCCAGAAACTTTGAAGCATATGAACTACCAGCAATGTTAGATAAGAAAGCAGATAAAACTTATGTGGATGCAGAACTAACAAAGAAATTTTCGAAACCAGATACAATGACATTTACAACAGAAATTATAAATGGTGAACCAGCAACTCCATTTGAATTTGTTAGAGGTCTTCAACCAGATACTTTTGAATTTTTCTTGGATAATTCTATTGAACTAACATTACATTATAAAAGTGGAACAAATGCAACATTTCATCCGGGAGATACATTCCAAATGGTATTTAATGACATAAGTTCTTTAGAATATGTTTATAGAGTTATGAGCATATATGATTTAATATATCCTATAGGAGCTGTTTATACGTCTATGAATCCAATAAATCCAAACACTTTATTTGGTGGTAGATGGTATGAAATAGTTGACAGTTTTCCATTCTACACTAATACGCAGTCAATGAAGATGGGAGGTTCAAAGAAAATAGGTATTGAAAACCTTCCTTCACATATGCATAGGTTCAGTGGAAGAACATCTGTGGAAGGAAACCATTCACATTCAATAACAAAAAGAGGTTATATAAATCTTGCAGCGGGTTCGAATAGACAGGGAATGAACAGATATGATATCTCAGATGACCCCAAAGATGTTAGCACAGGTATTTTCTGTGGAACTGCAGGAAATCATACACATGTTGTAGCTGGTATTACAGACCCAGCAGGTAATGGAAAAGATTATATGCCTCCTTATATAACAATGCACGCTTGGATACGAGTTGGTTAAAATCTTTAACTTTACATAAATGAGCTTGAAAGAAGTATTCGAACAACATCCATGGAGGTCATTTAAGAAGTTCAATGAAGCTGCAAAGAGTTCGGGATTTACTAACAGAGCTGAAGTGAAAAGGTTCTTTGACAAAAATGTTGTACATCAAACAAAAATAAACCCTTACGACTACTTTTTACCAATTTACTCCAACACTCCTGACGCATACCAATTTGACACTCTCATTCAAAGCAGAAAAGGAGGACATAAACCATTCCTCATCTTCATAAATGTTAACACTCGTAAAGCATATGCATATCCAATGAGAAATAAAGGAACTCGTGAAGTGTTAAGAGTTTTACAAAAGTTTGTAGCAGAACATAACCCAAGTACTTTAACATCAGACCAAGACAGTGCATACCTCAGCAACGAAATCACAGAATTTCTCATTAAGCATAACATAACTCACTACACTACTGAAGACCATAACCATAACATACTCGGCATCATAAACCGCTTCATAAGGACTCTCAGAGATTTAAACCAAGAGCGAGACTTTACCGAAGAAACAATGAAACATTTCATCGAAGTTTACAATTCCTCAACACATTCTACAACAGGACATACACCAAATTCAATGACACAACAACAAGAAGAAAAGTATATACAAAAGAAACGAAGCCAAACACAAAATATCAGAAATTCAACACAATTTACCCTCATTCCTGGTACAAAAGTTCGTGTAGTTCTTGACGACAAACCGTTGACAAAGAAACGTTTAAGGTTAAGTCGAAATTATTATATTGTAGACTCTACGCAAGGTAATGGATATCTTATAAAAGCTGCCGACGACTCTATTGCGTTTTATCCTCGACATAAATTAGTCGAAAGTAGTAATGGCAAACTTGCTGAAACCATTGACGAAGCAAAGCGAGGAGTGGTTATTGAAATACTTGGCTATAACACAAACGATGACACTTATAAAGTAAGATATGAAGGAGGCGTTGAAGATGTTATACCATCTAAGAACTTGAGAGAGTCGAAGCCAACACATCTGGGACCATTAGAGCGGGAGTACTGGAAAGACAAAAATATGCCAGAAAGAATAAGAAAATTCTTCTAAACTTTTTCATTAGATGTAAATCAGACAAAAATATAATTTAGGTGAAGAGGTGAGATTTCACCTGTTTTCTCACCTGTTTTTTCACCTCTTGAATTTGTCATAACTTCTTCGTAAATGCTTTGTCATAACTTCATCGTAAATGCTTTGTCATAACTTCTTCGTAAATGCTTTGTCATAACTTCATCGTAAATGCTTTGTCAAGATTTCATCGTAAATGCTTTGTCATGACTTCTTCGTAAATGAGTGTAAATGACCTAAAATATAATTTAGGTGAAGAGGTGAGATTTCACCTGTTTTCTCACCTGTTTTTTCACCTCTTGAATTTGTCATAACTTCTTCGTAAATGCTTTGTCATAACTTCATCGTAAATGCTTTGTCATAACTTCTTCGTAAATGCTTTGTCATAACTTCATCGTAAATGCTTTGTCAAGATTTCATCGTAAATGCTTTGTCATGACTTCTTCGTAAATGAGTGTAAATGACCAAAAATATATTATAGGTGAAGAGGTGAGATCTCACCTGTTTTCTCACCTCTTTTTTCACCTCTTGAATTTTCATGAATTTTCCCGAAATAAAAAATAAAGTTAGTTTTATTTTTTTTATTTTTTTATTTTGTATAAAAGATATGATTTCAACAATCGGCACAACAACAATTCAAGCCGCGAACGGCGGGACTCTGTCCACAACAACAGCACCAAACTCGTTAGTCATGAATCCTACGTCAATGTTAGTAGAGATGAAAAACTTCATTCCTTCTTCATATACTTTCGAAACAAAAATCCAGAAGATAAAGCAAGAACTTTTAACAAGTAATTTAGACTGTAGTGCGAAAGATGAAGAAAATGAAGAATATCTTTATGAAATGCAGGACATTATTGACCATTTACCCAAATTGCCTGAAATCCAACAACAAAAACTCACTATTCCTGAATTCGACGAAATTGAAGTGAAACCAACTGACTCAGTAGAAATAAAGAAGTTCATACGTAAAGTAAATTATGAATTCCTTGGTTTTCATTGCAACCATAAGGTTATGGACAAAGATTGCGACATGGTATATAAAAACATTTCTGACATATATAAATCTGAGGAGTTTAAGACTTACGATAACTTTGTTTCATTAGTTGCAAAATGTGTTTGGGAAATAAGAGATAAAGATAGAAGAGGCAAAGTATGGAACGAACAAATAAGACCCGCTATGTTTGAGATGAAGAGAGCAATTGACGCCTTAGTTGTTTTAGCTGGTTTTATTTCAATGTATAACGCAAAAATGAACCCGCAATGTTCAAAATGTAAGGCAGCAATTAGGAAATATAACTACTCAGTCAAAGAGATAGAAAGAATGAGAAACGACTATGCAGACTTAAAGAAAGAAGCAGAAAAGCCAGCAGAAGATAAAATGAACATGTTAGAATTTCTGAACAAAAACTATCCAACAGCAGAAGATTTCCTTCTATCTGACGTCAAGAAGAAGTATAAAGAAACCTTCGGTATTGTTAAAACTTTTGACATACTGACAGAAGAAATAGAAGCTACGAAATTGTTTAGGATTTCAAATATACATCGTACAATTCATGTAAAACGCTTGTGAAAAAACTGGGGTGAAAAAAGAGGTGAAAAAACAGGTGAGATCTCACCTCTTCACCTAAATTATATTTTTGTTCAAAGCTTCCACGAGAGAAAAGATTCCTCATTCGCTAAGGATTCCAAAAATGAAAAAATCATTGATTTCGGCTGAGAAAAAACAGCAAAACCCTTCTTCCACGGGAACAAAGAAATAAAGAAGAAATAAAGTAAATTTTTTATTTATTCCCGTGGAAGATAGAGCACTTTTATGACACTTTTTATTCACGACAAACAAGACAAACAAAGAAAATAAGAAAATACGGCGCTGTCGCGGTTCGAACCACAGACTCTGACCCCTCCATAACACCACCTTAGACCACTGTGCTACGTAGCCTGTCGACATAAGATTTTATAAATTGCATATTTGACGTAAATTTATTTCCATCTAGCTTCCCACCGCATAAGATATTCATACGTGTTTGTAAGACATTCATTAAACTTCTTTTCTATTGCATCTAATCTTGCGTTATTTTTTTCAATAGCTTGTCTGTATTCTTCATCATCTCCAGCAGTGTTTGGGTCTTCACGTTTAAAATATTCATTGTTAACCAATTTTTTATCTACAAATTTTATTAGTGTTTGATTCACTTCGTTATGATAACGGTCATATTCTTTCAATACGTAAGTGAAGACAAAATGCGTCGTACCTTCAATCTTAAAGCTTAAAGAACTTTCAACACAGTTTTGAGGGTCTGTCAGTGCGTCAATGAGATAGTATTCGAAGTCAGTCAATAATCTTTTTAAAGTCATTTCATACAGGATAAAATTTAATGTTGTGAAGAAATAGTGTTTAACACAGAAAAATAAAGTTAAGTTTTATTTTTATTTATTTTTTTATCCGGAATGTAAAGAACAGTAATGTCAACATCAGAGAACACAACAACTGCTATCGTTCATGAAGCCATAAATGAAGAATACGAATACATACAGTATAACAAAACAGTTAGTCTCATTCTTCAGTCAAAGATGATATGTACAAATGCAAAGTATAATGAACGCTCTTCGTTCTACAAAGCAAGCATATCATTGGTTTGAAACCAACAGGCAAAAGAACTTTTTAGAAGAATTTCCTCATATGATTGCTTCCCTCGGAAAACCGAGGGAAGAGATTCCGTACGAAAATCGCAAGAAATTTGGCACCTGGTTTGAAAGGTTATTATGTTCATAGACTTTTAGTAAATGCTGTAGCAATGTGGGCTTCACCTCGTTATGCTTGTTATATTTTCATGATGTTAGATGAACTATATAAAGCAGAACGTGGAGAGATGGAAAAGAAACTTTCAAGCAAAAGATGAAGTCATTGAATCCAAGACAAAAGCATACAGAAAGAATACCACGTTCAGTACCAAAAGGAAAGGAAAAGAGTTATAAGTATATGATATATACTGAAGAGTTGGAGAAAGAAGAAGATAAAGATATGGTTATGTTGCATTTAGTCAGAAGAAACAACAAGAGCTTTTATGACCTTGCTAAGATTTACAAATCTGACAGAAACTGGTTCTATCGTGAAAACTTACCGATTTCAATGACACCGAATGAGCAAATAAAAGAAATTGTCAAAAATACTCTTCCTCAAACACACTATGACATCAAAGGTTGCACAATACTTACATTCAAAGAAGACTTACCATTACTGAAAGAAAAGATAATAGAATATTTCGACAACTTCAAAGAGGAAGAATGAAGTCACGACAACATTAACGAAGAAGTCACGACAACATTAACGAAGAGAGAATGAGGTGAAAAAACAGGTGAAATCTCACCTCTTCACCAAAAATATATTTTTGGTTAAATAGCTTCAGGGTCTATTTCTTCAACCATTTCACTTTCTTCGTCAATGTCAATAGAAGCTTCTTCAACCTTTGGTAAGAACTTTTGTATGACATCTTTGTTCGTTATTGTCTTCAGAGATGAAGGATAATATTTCACATTTATTTCACCCTTCTTATATTCTTTCTGTTCGGAAAGATTTAAAGCAATACTGAAGAAGTCAACGTTAGAGTTCTTTATGACAGTAAAGTGTGTATCTTTGACATTCACGAAGAAACTCTTTTGTTTCAAAACTACTGCTAACTCTTGTGAAGTATAACGTTTGCGGTCAATGACGATAGCTAATGGTCTGACATACTGACCAAACTTAGATTCTTTCACAAACTTCTTGTTAAAGATAACATTAACATTTGAAGCATTATTGAACTCATTCTTGATGGCAGTAGCGAGAGCATTGTATGAAAAGAACTTGCAATCTTGCATGTGTTTCATTAAAATAAAAATATTAAATTATTTTGAAAAATAACTTAAAAAAATCTAATCTAATTTTTTCAAAAAATATTTTTTTATCCGATAGAAAAGATGACAGAAAAATTAACTTTTTACATAGCGCCAGACCCTTCTTGCCCACATCCTTTTAAGCCACAATATATAGACATAGAACTAAATAGAGAAAGCGAAATTCCACAATATATATACATAGAACTAAATAGTGAAGGCGAAATTCTACAAACAGAAGAAAGCGAAATTCCACAAACATATAGAGACCTAGATAACGAAAATGGATATGCGCTATTCTGTTGTTAGATTGTCCTTATAAAATGTATGAAAAAAAGGCTTTATATGAAGAATATAGAAAATATTGTCATGAAAACGATATAAGACCAAGCTCTAGAGAAAAATTCTATGCTGGTATAAAACATCTTTTCGAAGTTCGGAATGGCAAATATATAAAGAAATAATTTTTCTAAGTTTATTTTTTCAAAAAATATTTTTTTATTTCCTACTAAAGATGTATCGGAAGTTGTCTAAGTTAGAACACTCGGAAATAAAACAACTTCTTACAGAAGCTAATATAGATGTTGCAAAGCATTACGCAACAAACAAAAAAGCACTCGCTGACATCCTCAATGACTATAATGGTGCAATAAGTTATGATAGAATTCATGAGTTCATAAAGCCGCAACGCGGCGAGGACGAAGTCCATGCAAGAGCATTTCCTTTAAATGACGTTGCTATTGACTTATATCATAGACGTTCAGTACCTCATGAAGTAAGAAGAGAAATGTTTGACATAACAAATGCGAACGTTGGTCATACTCGTAAAGCTCTTTCGCATGATGTTCGTCAAGAAATGTTTGACATAACAAATGCAAACGTTGGTGAAACAAGAAGAAGAGACGACACACTGAAACAACAGAGAAGAGAGATGTTTAAAGTGCTATAGAACAAGTTCGTAAAGCTAACGATGTCATTCGTTCCATTGACGACAAACCAAAAGAAGGTGAGAGATGGTTAAAGAAAGATGAAGAGAATAGGAAGAGAAATGTGAAGTCAGGCAATAGACTCATTGACTTTAACATCGAAGCTTTAGATGAACCAAACAGAGACTACTTACACAAACATTTCGGTAAGGTTTTCATGAGACTCTTAGAGAAAATTAAAATAAACTCACAACAGAGATGGATGGTATGTTATAAACTTGGTGGAAAGTATGAATGTTCTACGTTAAACCTCAATAATATTGGAACATTACTACATCAGCTCTTGAAGGAGAACTTTATATCAGAGATAGAAGCAAATGCTGCAGGTATTGTTGAAATGCACTATGACTTCTTCTTGACAAACATAAAGAATCTTACTGAAATAAAGATGTATGATTTAACAGAATATGAAGGCTTAACGATGTCAGATGTAAAGAAAGGCAAACCAAAAAAGAGACCATATAGAGATGAAAGCACACTGACAAATGACCAGAAAGCCATTTTGGAAGCTCTTAAGCAAACAGGAAACCCAGCACTTATAGAAAGCTTTTGGAAAGATAATGGTGAAAAGAAGTTTTATAAGAAGAGAAGCGGTCAGTTCTGGAAGTATCTTTGCACATTACCTATAAATCTTGAACGCTACCAAATCTTCAATGAACTGAACAAAAGAACTGCAGCACTTATGACAGAAGACAATTGTTTCGTTTATGCTTGCATTCAGGCTGGAGTAAATGAAGAAACTATTGACCACATGAGAGAAGTCATTCGTGTTAGAGACTTTCCTCAAAGTAAAGTACAAGAAATTTCTGACGCAACAGGTATATCATTTAATGTTACCATTGGTTATTTCAATGAGTCAAGACATAATGAAATAAAGAGATATATACCAAAAGAATGCGAAACTGTTCGAACTATTGACTTACTTCTTGTTGAAGACCACTACATGCTAAATGAAAGATTACCAATGACAACATACTTCATTCGAAACTATAAAGAAATTCTCAAAGCTTGTGGTGGAATGAACATTGAGAAACAGATGAAGATTTATACAAAGAGAGAAGATAAATATGTTGTTCGTTATGATAGAACAACACCGTTATGGGATGTTATGAAAACATTGTGGGAGTGCAAATATTTCGAACCTATTTCTTATGGAGAACTTTTCACATATACTACTGACTTATATAAACAGAACCTTGCACCATTTAAAGATTTGACATATGCTCCAAAGTATTGTGTACAACTGAAGAAGAAAGCAGAGTCAAAAGAAGTAAATAAAGCTAAATGTAAATTCATACCTGAGCACGTTTTCTTTGCTGACTTTGAGTGTAGTACGGATGGCTTTCATAAAGCTTTTAACATCTGTTATGACAGTGAAGATGGTTCAGTTAGTGAAAGCATTTGGGGTCAAAACTGTGCAACAGAATTTTTGGAAAGACTTCCTGACAAGAGTTTAATATATTTCCATAACCTCAGTTATGATATAAACTTCATCTTAAGACACATGACAGAAGTGAAAGGAACTCCCATCATTAAAGGTTCACGAACAATGCAAATAACTGGCTTATATAAAGGACGGGCAATTATTATAAAAGACTCTTACAGTGTTATAAATAAGAAGCTTAAACTATTTCCTGCTATGTTTAACTTACAAACAGGACCGAAAGAAGTATTTCCATATAACTACTACAGCAGTGTTTTGTTAGCAAATGACAACAGAACTGGTGTCATTTCTGAAGCATGTAAGTTTATCCATGATGCAGATACATTTATGAAGAACATAGATTCCATCAAAGGTTGCAGAATAGATGAAAACCACTTCGACTTAGAAAAATATAGCACGTTTTACTGCAAACAAGATGTAAGAATTTTAAGAGAAGGTTTTGTAAAGTTCCGCAATGACTTATTGAAAGAGTTTGATTTAAACGTTTATGACTACGTTAGTATTTGTTCTATTGCTAACAAATTGTTTGAGAACAGAGTATACTTCCCGAATGGAAATCTTTATGACCTCTCAAATAAACCAAGAGAATTTATTTCGAGATGCATTCAAGGTGGAAGATGTATGTTGTCAGATAACATGAAACAAAAGAGCAAAAAGAAACTCATTGCTGACTTCGACACTGTTTCATTATATCCTTCAGCTATAGCAAGATTGTATACTTTAGAAGGAATTCCAAAAGTATTGAAGGATGAGATGCTAAGCACAGAGTATCTCATGAGACATTTATTCGATGATGACCAAAAGGAACCCATTGGTGAAAAGTTTATGTCTGGCTTCTTTGTTCTCATTAAGATAACAGAGATTGGTATACCCAGACACTTTCATTTAATAGTTTGCGACCCTGAACTAAATCCAGAACTTAACGTTCCAAGAAGTTCAAACACTTGCTGTCTCATGTATGTTGACCATATAACATTACAAGACCTCATAAAATATCAAGGTGTCAAATGTGAAGTGTTGCAAGGATACTATTACGATGGAAACAGAGATATGAGAATAAGAGATGAAGTAAAGAAGTTGTTTGAGTTAAGGTTAAAGTATAAGAAAGAAGAAAACCCATTACAAGAAATTATAAAGCTCATTTTGAACAGCATTTATGGCAAAACTATTCTATCTCCTATTGAGTCAAAAATAACCATAGTAAATGACAAAGATGCTATAAGATATGCTATAAGAAATTACAACCATATAGTGAAGTTCGAAGGTTTGGATGGTTCAGATAAAACTATTTTCAAGCTAACGAAAAGCATTTGCAGACACTTTAACTTCTGTCCACTTGGTGTTAATATTCTGTCTATGTCAAAACGTATTATGAATGAAGTATTCTGTACTGCTGAAGATATGGGACTTCAAATATTTTACCAGGATACCGACAGTATGCACTTATATAATGAAGACATCCCAAAGCTTGCAGCAGAGTTTAAGAAGAGATATGGTCGCGAACTTATAGGAAAGAACCTTGGTCAATTTCATAGCGACTTTGCAGAAATAACACCTGGAAAACAAAGTTTAGCTTATAAAAGTATTTTCTGTGGAAAGAAGACCTACATAGACTTACTCACTAACGATTTAAATGAAGTTGCATTTCACTGCAGAATGAAAGGCGTGAAGCAAGATGTTATTGCTTTAACCGCTAATGAAATGTTTCCTGAAGCTATACAATGCTATTACAATGAAGATAAGAACATTCACATACCTGTTGGAACATATGACAAAGACTCTGAGTTCAGTTTAATGAAACTTTACAAAGCACTTCATGATGGTCAAGAGATTGCATTCGACTTATGTAAGTCATGTCAACCTTGCTTTGCTGAAAAGTTCAACTTTTCAATAACGACTAAAACAAGCTTTATTCGTAAGTTGAAGTTCTTGAGGTCATATTATTTTTGTCAGCAATGAGGTCATGAATGAGGTCATGAATGAGGTCATTCGTGATAAAAATAAAGCTAGCGTAGATTTTACAATACTGCGATGGTAGAGTTTAAGAGTTGTGCTTCTGTAATTGAGACAGTCCTTATGGTCTGGAGGCAAGAACACTGGACATTTATGGTCATGAGTGGAGAACATGTCTATCCAAAACTCACGATTGAAGCCAGTTAATTTATAGTATTTAGGGTTAGGAAGTGTGAAGTTCTTGTATGACCAATGAACTCATTTTCAACTCCCTTACTTAAGTTTGAATATAATATAGCTTGCTTTCTATCCCAAATGCCAGGTGTTACAATCTTTGAAAATTCATTTTCCTCGGAAGCATTGCATCATAATTGAAAAACATTCTTAAAATCATCACTTGGTTCGGAGATTTGAAATCTTATACGTAATGGATTTTTTTTCTCTTTAGCGACTTCATTGAATGGTGAGAATACAATGAATTGACAGTCATGAGTTCCATCTTCATTTTCATTAAATTCATAATGAAAGTCTATAAGTTGTGGCTGACTACCTTCTTCTTTCAGTTGTGCAAGAAACTCACGTAAAGGCTGTAAAGTTTGTACTTCAATGTTGAACTTTTTCTCGAACATCTCATTAAATGAAATCATACATTGCAACAATGTTGTATCGTCTTTAAAGTATTTGTATATGTGAATGTTTTGGGCGCTTAAAGACTGTTCGTCATTTTCTATCTCGACTTGAAGTATAAAGTCAACCTTTCTGAAAGCACGTGTTATATACATAGATGTTATGCCAATGTACTTTCTTCATTTATGTTCACAATCCAGTCTGTTGGAAACTTAAACGTTTCTGTTCCCCTTTATTTTGACGTCAGGGTTTTCACTACTGAACGCAACAGATAAAGGTATTTGTCTATACATTTAATTCGGATAAAAATAAACCATTTACTCTTTCTTTGCTTCAGCTCTTTAGCTTTTGCTTCAGCTTCTTCTCTAGCTTTCTTTGCCAGCAAACGTGGGTTCTTTTGTCTTCCAGCAGCTAATGCAGCAAGTTGTTTTTCACTAAGTTTTCTCTTTGGTCTCTCTGGCTTTTGTTCTTGTTTTTGTTCCTTCAGTTCGGATAAAATTTGCTCACGAATTTCTTTCTTCATGCTTCAACATCTATGACCCCTTGGGTCTTGTCCGTAGGGCTTGTCTGAGTCATTTGACTGTAGATAAAAAACTAAATTAAAACTTTAAACCGATGTAAAATGAGCTTGTCAAAATCAGAACGAGAGTCTATTATATTAAATGACGCCAGAGGAATACAACATCCTTTCTATTACGTAAGTCAGAGTAAAGATGGTAAAATATACGTAAGAAAAAGAAAGGTACCATTAGCGAATGCAGAGAGCGACAACATTAAGGTGCATGGCAAGGGTGAAGTCCATGAAGTCCATATAAAACCTTCTGTTCAAACTGAAAAGTCAATAGAACAAGAAGAAAAGAAGCCAGATGTTCTTTCAATAACGAACCAAGAGCTTATTGCAAAGTTCGTGAATTTCATTGAAAAGCAAACCGAGTCAAAGAACCCTGACCCACCAGTGAAAGAAGTCGAGACAAAAGAGAATGTACAGTTCATTGAAAATGTCAAGAAACAACTTCCACCACGAATGCCAAGAAGAAGAGTGAGAATAATGAAGTAAATAGATATTTTATCTGAAGTAAATACATGCAGAACGAACAGCTAAACGAATTTACTCCAGCAGAGCATATTCATCAGATTCGCTCATATTTCGATATCATAGACAATGCAGTTCAAATTGGTGACACTAATAGAAAATATTCTGACGCAAAGATTCCATCACAACCTGGAAATGCTAAAGATAACACATGGGTAACATTCAATCTTACCTGGTGAAAATATGTTGGACCTTTACAATACATTCATTACGTATAAAATGGAAGGTCAATTTATTGTAGATAAAGAAATTGGTTCAGGTTCCAATAAAACAAACCCACCAGGATTTTGGATTGGTTTCGATGACGCTTTCTATGCAGTTGCTGGATATCAAATCCTTGCAAATGGTCGTATCGTATATTCTCAAGACAACGCAAGAGAAGAAGCATATATACTTCAAACTCACAACTACGAACAAATAAAGAAAGAGATGTTTTCTCAAAGACTCGACATGAAGATGTATGGAGTCATTCGGGAACATGCAGAACAGGACAAATTGTTAGTGGTCCAATTACAGCAGGAAAATCATTTGATTTTAAGCTTCGTTTAAGAATTCCTGTTAGAAGATTCCTTCCATTAGAAGCTATTCGATTTATTCCAGCTTTTGCAGGAAAACATTCAGCTTAAAGTAAAGTTCAGTAGCGACGCCTTACAATGCACATCTATATCTGTAAATGATATCATTGCTTTCAATCCAACTCTTAAAGTTGCATTTTGCTTCAGATTCAAATCCACCGACAAATAAATTTGTTCCATGGAATGAACCATTCACTATGATAACGAAGGCAGTAGAAGCTAGTGGAACAGTTACTATTACAACTGTAAACCAGCAACTATTTCGAACAAAGATGGATTTTAATGAATGTTTCATTCATCCAAAGTCATTCTCTTTAGACCCTAACATTTATACAGAACTTGTAGAACATTATACAAACGAGGCTTTATGTTTTCCTGTTAAAGTTATGGATTGGATTCCTATGGACGCGTTCATTCTCAAAGAATACAGATAGTTCAAGTGCAACATTTACAGCAGCTTATACGCCTATTAATGTTAAAAGTATTTGGGCACTATTTAGAAAGAAAGACAACTATTATGTTAATTTTGAGAACCCTAAGTTTAAATATCTTCAGCTTTCCATGGGAGCTTATGGAAATATGCCTGCAGAACCCGAAAAATCATATGGACCTGTATTTTATGAAATGGTTGCGAACGCTTGCAATACAAACAATGATATGATAGGATTTAATGAAGATGTTATGAGGTCATTGGTGGATGATGGTAGTGTGGAACATAAATGGGATAGCTATGACAACACACATTTCTTATGTGGTTTTCCAACAGAAGTGGACTTTTGCTTCCAGCAAGGTCAAACATCTACTGCTCCAATAACATACA